TATATATATATTTATACACACACACACACATACACTTCATTATCATCAATCGCCTTAAATTATAAATTCTGGTCATAGCAAAATGTTTCGTTTTGAACAGAATATCGATTTTATTGTTCCAACATAATACAAACACATTCGTCAATAGAATCAAACTAAAATATACATAAAAACTTACAACATTAAACCCTCATATCAAATGATTTTGTCTTTGAAATTTATATGAAATCGCAAGTTGTATTTCTTTTTGGTTAGAAAATATCTTGACGTTGAATACCTCGAATTAAAAGAAATGAGTGTGGAATGCACTCTATGGAATTCTACTTATCAAAACTACTAGTAAAGAAAAACATGACGTTTATCCATCTTTCGTGCAGGTTTGTACCTCTTCTAATCCCGTTAGTCGTTAAAGAAACTTACTGTCACAACTCTTACCCGTTTTATATGAGAATCTGATATGGTTAAGTAGATTTCATATCTGATTGTCAGGTTAATTTTATCAAAAACGTTTCGCTATGTAAAAATATGAGAGATATCGCTAACGAAAGGATATATTTGGACAGAGAGTAAACAACGAAGAATAATGTTGATTTAGAAATATCTAAAATATAGCCCACATATACATGCATAACACCCGTAAGAAACAAAAAAATATGTTTAATAACATACAATCAGTATTTCTAATCTAAAATACATTTTACATAAGGATAACCAATTAAACATAAATGTAAGTGTACAGAAACGGCGATTTTTTGTGGCTTTTTACTTCCAGCGTTTTGACATAAACACATATATATTCAAGTACGGGTACAAAAAAGGAAACCTTCATTTAATACACACTATACAAACTTAAGTAGTAGCGTTATAAGTCGAACTCATTATAATCACTCGGGGTGGGGACACACGATTCAACTTGTAGTAAATCAAAACAATTTTAGCTTAAATGAGAGACGGACACAATATCAAAATTAAACACCACATCACCTTTTGTACTCTCAGGATTTGGAATATCATCTTGTCATCGCAGTATTTTCAGAGAACCTCCTGCAATTTATGTACACACGCTGACAAACATATAAACACAAGACTACATGCTTACCCGCGCTTAACGCTGATCTTCGCGCTTGCGTCACGTCCTCTCATAGTAACTGAGCGTTCTTTTACGAGACTATTTGATTCTCTAACCCAGAAGCAGTTATAGGTAATAACCTTGTATGGCTTTAGGTTTAGTAAGTGGCCTATGCTTGGTTCGTATATTTTGGAGAACACACTCGAGAACATCCGGTTAATATTATTTTCTCCAGATCTTTCAAATTTACTTTTACTTTTTGTTGTATTTCAGGACGAGCACTTTTGTCCACCGCTTGATTTGTTCGGTCACACTGTTCCCAAAAGAGTATATAGAAGGTCAGACCATCGATATTTGAATGAATTCGAGAAAAAGACGTTTACACACAGCAACAAACAAACGTTACTTGAGTCGAGGGTACAGTATGAAACAATTGACATGGGGGAGGGGAGACAATCATTTTAGGACTTACGTGTAATCAGTCAAAGCTTTATGTTGAGTGTGTTGCATGGCTTTTTTTTTGGCGAGAGTTATTATTCTCATTCCACTTAATGCATTGTTGGTGTACTTATTATAGTGTTGACAATGGAGGGACCATTAAGACGTATCTGAGCTTCACATCACCTACATTTTTGTTTTATATAGTTTGACAAACTCTTCGAATTTATGGTAGAATTATTTTTAATTTATCATAGTTCTTATGTATTGTTTTATCCAATAGAATGTCTGGCTATCTAGTCAAAATACTATAAAAGATCTCCCTATTGAGAAATGTGTAAAATATTTATACAAAGGATAATTAAATATTGTTATTATAGAATAACATGATATCAATTTTAAATTGCAACAAGAAAAGAAAAACTAAACTAAAACATGGCAGGCTACTGTATAAGTTAACTTGAGGTGTTATTTTTTTCATATGATTCAATACCAGTAAGTTTGAAATATACTAGAAATTTATAATGTTAGCTAAGACATCCGAAGAAGTAAGAAAACACACATTCTTACAATGACTTTTGTAGTTGCAATAATCGACACACATTATTTTTAAGTTGAAATTATGTTACCTTCAAAATTGATAAAATTTTTGAGAAATACAAAAATGTTTAAAGTCGTATCAGAATCATACGTGTCACTTACCTTACAAACTTTAGGTTAACACGCAGATGTGCAGTTTTGGAATATCATACTGTTAAGTCTCCGTTTGTTAATTAACTTTCCGTAACTTCGTTCCGACGAAACTTTAGCGACACAAGTCCTTATTTAATAAAACTGGTTTATTCTTTCCGAATATAACTTTACGATACACTTGTTTTCAACAATCGCGCTAAAACAAACGCTATATCAACGAACGTTAACTTCAGCAATACGTCTCTCTCTGACTGCAGTTCAATTACTCATTACCTACACACACATTACCTTCCCGTCACGTTGTCACCCTCTTTTATATACCAGTCTACCCTATATCTAGTAAATGCTAGAGCATTCGCCAAAGTACAGGATAGTTCTAGAACGTAGAGGGCGTGAGAATAGTCACGTGATCTCGATGACGCAACAATACCATTCCAACGCCATTCCTTGAAATTTCATAATATATAGTGGTATTATAAAGTCTTAACTCATTTGGAAGAAATGCTATATGGAAAAAAAAAAGGAGAGAAGTGTTTGTTTTTCAAAGAAATTGTACTGTTTCTGTAAATCGAAATTGAACGTGTTAGACCCCATTTTAAATACTCTAGCTTAAAACTAAAACATGTTATTGCATGTGGCTAATGGGGTTACTGCATTCTAAAAACTGGACTACAAAGATTACGAGTTAATATATTACCATCTAGTGGCGTAACTACAGAAGATTCCCGCACAAAAGTAATTGGACCCCCTACAGTTATAACCCTATAATTTTAGTTCCGATTCTGGCTGATTTGGGACCTCTTTTGCCCCCCTCCCCACAATTACTGGGCTTCGGGGACGTGTTAAATATTCTCATACGATTAACAGTCTACATACAACTGAGCTATTTGAATGTTTATCAACCTTAAACTTTACCACCTGATTTGCTAAGATTCAGAAGTAGTCATTTCTTAGAAGTTCACTTTATTAAAAGAACGTTGAATGAGTATTATTTAGAATTATCTTGTTTTATGAATATGAATGATCAGCACTTGTGTATTATCTAAAATTTAATAAATAATTAAAATCAACGTTTCATATTTACACAATTTTTTACAAACTTTATTGAAGCCGTCAACGACTTCCAGTTTTAAAACACGCTCTACATGTACATATTCCGACGTCTTCTACGTCGTCTTCAGGAGTTATTTACAAGATACAATAACTTATATTTTTTCCCATGTCATGTAATATTACATTGTATTGTTATTCGCACAATTCCTTAGTCAACATTTATATTACACCACACCAAATATCAATGCACTGACTTCACGATCCTCCATCTCTGTTTAATACTTCTTTTGTTTCTTAAATTTTATTATTTCTAAAAATTACATTTAAAGCTGTAATATTGCTGAGCTAAAATTATAGTTTTTTTCCCATAAAATTGTGTTGTGTTGTTTTTACGTGTTCTGCTATAACCGAGTTTTTTATTCTATTATTTCTTATGTAAATTTTATGTTCCTGTAATTTGTATTTTAAATTCCTTTTAGTTTGACCAATATAAATACTCCTACATTCACATTCTATTTTGTAAATCCCAGTTTTATCTACTAATTCTATTTTATCTTTAGTATTCCCTAACATTTCTTTAATCTTATTTATAGGTTTAAAGATTGGATAAAAGTTTTGTTGCTTCTTAAAAGTTTTGAGTAATTGACCTGTTAATCCTGGTATATAAGGTAAATTTAAAATGTATTTTTTGTTTTTTCATAAATAGATTTTAATGTAGTATTTTTAACTAACATTGAACTTTTGCTAAATTTCTTAAATGCTCTAAGCTATTGTTGCGTCAGCGAGTCACATGACCACCGTGAATGTTCAAGTTCTTACTAGAAATAGGGTACGCTGGTATATAAAAGAGAGATAATGTGTGTATAGATAGTGAGTAATTGAACTGCAGTCACACGGTATTGTTGAAGTTAACGTTCGTTTGTTACAGTGTTGTTTTAGCGCGAGTATTGAGATTAAGTGTATCGCAGAGTTATATTCGGAAAGAATAAACCAGTTTTATTAAGTAAAGACTTGTGTCGTTAAAGTTTCGTCGGAACGAAGTTACGGAAAATCAATTAACAAACGGAGACGTAACACTATGTTTGGTTCAATTTCTCTTTCAACAACTACACCTTTTTAAAGCTCTGTAAACATATGTATAAAATACGGAGATTTTTTGCGTTTTTATAAGATATAATTCCTTGTGTTATTTTACACCCATCAAAAAATTCAAAGAAAATCTGCTATGAATAAAAATATATGACACGTATAATGCAAGAGATTTTACACGGAGAAAACGCATAGTGGTGCCATGCAAAGTAAATTTGATATATATGAAATTTATGAATCAGTCATATGTGTATGCATTAAATCTAGAATGATGCATTGAAATGAAACAGAGTATTAAAATTGGCCTCTGCGGGTGTTAAGTTAAAATTAAAGTTTCAAATGACATATGTTTTGACATAATTAAGTTGTAAGATATGAAACGTGACCACAGAAATCTTTACGACGGTAAATTCCTCTGCGGGTGTTAAGTTAAAATTAAAGTTTCAAATGACATATGTTTTGACATAATTAATTTGTAAGATATGAAACGTGATCACAGAAATCTTTACGACGGTAAATTTTAACTAAAACAGAAGAAAATCGAACATAAACCAGTTACATATCAACAAGGTCCGACGTTTCACTTTTCTCATCAGCCATTCTTTTCATTCGTAGTTTAAATGTTGCTTCTAACTCATATTTAAAACATAACAGACAGGTGTATTGCAATAGACGGTTTAACTGCGGGGCATTGGGGCATGTGCCCCCCAAATTACGACCTGATGGCAAAGTGCCCTTTTGAATGAGGAAATACAGACTTTGTATAATTATCATAGAAAGTCGCTGTTTCAGTTTTGAAATCAATGGTCACAGCTGACATAGCAAATAAGGTGCCCACAATCGTTAGTACTCCCTCACCCGTTTTTATTTTCTTTTTTTTTCTTATTCATTTGTTTAAAGTTCCGTTCGGTGATACGAAACAAAAACAAAAACAAACTTGAAGCCGCTAATTTCAGCTAGCTAATGGGTTTTATTGTCGAATCATATCTTCCAGGAAGTGCGCCAAATTTCATTATTTATAGTGACAAGAACCTCTATTAACAGCGGGGATTCTAATGGATATTTTTGTTTGAATTCTACTGAATTTAACTGTCACTAATGTAAAATTAAATAAAACATAATTCCAAGCTAATTTAAAGAGTGCTCATTGATTCTTATTACATGCTGTACATTGACAACATATTTTATTCAAATCATCAGTATTGCACTGTTGAAACCAAAACCAAAAAATGAGAAATAAAAGCAGTGCTAATTTGTGAGAAAAGTGATTTATGTATGTTGTATAAAATGGTTTTGAAACACCTTGCACCACGTCCAAACTTTCCAGAATAAAACTTATGGTTCTCATTGTGCTTCTGGTAAAATATATTTTTCCCTAGGCAAATAATCTTAAAGATATTTATTTTAATATCAACGTTTGTTTAGATTAAATTTATATTTAGAAACATATAAATAGGTTATACTGTTGAATATATATTACGAAACTCCTGCCTATTCTCCAAAGTTGTGGAAGATTCTCGAGTGTAAGAATCAACAATATATGTATGTACGTAAACGCTTAAATGTAGCTTTGTATTGTTACATAATCTGAATTTTCTAGAAAGCCT